GTTCTATTGGAAATATCCCTAAACTCGTTGGAACAGATCTAACAGGAAAAAGACAAGCAGAAACATCCAATCAAAGTTAACCATTTTCTAAAGTTTGCTTTAAAAAAGAAAGTCCTCGCTGTAGCATCCCAAATGTTTTATAGCTGCCAAAACACATATGAATACAGATACTCAGTGTAATAAAACAAATTATAAAGAGAAGTCTAAATTAAATGAGCATTTATTTTCCATTTAATTTTTGTACACCTCAATTTGCTCACTTTCTGAAAAAGAAAATGGACCCAAGTGCTCGACAAAGTTCTAATGAATTTCAACAGAACATTAAATTACTGAAAAGTTTTAACTGAACAAAACTGAGTCTGAACTGCCAAAAGAACAAAAAGCTTAAGGAAAAAAAAAGAAAAGAAAAAAACATAATCCAAACACTAAAGAGATTTTGGGTGTTATGTATAACTTACTCCTGGCTAAGTTTTTTTTATTATTTTGGAAAAGGTTTTAGTTGCATGTTAAAAAAAAAAAATTAAACATGCTGAAATGAAATTATAAACGTCTATTTTAGGAATTACATGGCTCAAATTCTGAATAAAGATAAACCACTTTTCAAATCACAATTACACTTTGCAATAAAAATAAAACATATGGGAAATAACAACTTTGGATAAAAAAGATTTTTAACCATTTTACCACTACATAGGGGACACTGCAAAATATGAACCAGTTGCCAAGCATCCAAATGTTGATCACATAAGCACAGGGGATGCTGCAATGGTCGTGAGTGTGGAAAAGGTCATAAGTCACTTTTTTCAATGCCATTGTAACTTCAAATATTTGCTAAACAAACCACTGTAAATCGAGGGAAACCCATATGATATGCCATATTATACATTTTTCAAAACATGGTTTTGAACTCACAAAATCAATTTATTTACAGTATTTCTATTCTGCCTGAAGAGTTAAGCAAACAAGATTAATAGTTTGGACAAATAAAGTAAAGCAATGGCTAATTATCTCTTCAAATGGAGTCCATGAACCAAGCTTAATAGTATTTTGATATTTTACAGTAAACTGCAGTTAAAATTATCAGATTTGTAAATTTACATGTTAAGTACAAGAATTTTTTAAAAAATGCTTTTTTTCCAAGTATGGAAAAGTATTTTTCAGGCTTAGTAAAAAGAAAAACATTGGTAATTCATCAAGTTTCAAGTTTCACCCCCAAAGTATCAATGCATATGTCACTGAGGCCATACATACTTATTAGCTGAGCTCTGCGATTTATTTGGTTTTCAAGTGACAAATTGGGATTACTAGCACCTTAGCACTGTTGTAACTAATAGCATAAAAAAGAAAATCTAGATGCTTGGCCTAAAAATGAATACATTATTTGTTGATGTAACTTGAGTGTAACAATGTTACCAAGCCAGCACCTTATATTTGAGTTTAACTAGAAGTCCTCAAACTCATATCCTACCTAACGTAGACAATGTTTTTGAGAATCATAGAACTTGTGGTCCAACCATCCCCATTCCCTGGAAAAACAGGACTGTTTCATGCCCTAGATAACACTGTATCTATGTGGAATACAGATAGGTAGTCCCCAACTTATAATTGCATCATGACCGTTTGAAGTTAGACTGGATTTCAAAACAGCTACTTATCACCTATCCTTGAAAGTGACTACACACACACACACACACACCAGTCCTTTTGGGCGCTTAGCAACTGGTACACGTTTACAACTGACTGCAGCATCGACAGTCATGTGACACAATTTGAGACTTTTTGCCACTTTCCAGCAGAAAATGGCAAAGTACCCATTGGATATACTGGATTCACCTAATTATGTGATTCACAGTGAATCATAAAAAACTCATAAAAGTCAGTTTCAAGCACACGGTGCCTCAATTTACTATTATGATAACTTACAACCATAATAGAGCCCAGATTTTGGATATAGGTCACAGGCTAACTACATGCTTTTTTTTAAACATACAGGATATATGTATACAATATATTTTTATACTGGTTAATCAAAGTTTATTCAATTCAATTTTCTAAAACTTGATAACACATGAATTTGTCCTATATCTGGATATTAGACTAAAATATGGTTATGGATAAGTTTTGGTTCAGTGTAACATGTGAACATAACCAGAATATGCCTTTTTATTTAGAGGTAAAAAAAATTCTAAACAGAGTTAGCAATTGCAATGCATCTTTTAAAAGATATATTGAAAGTGAAAACTAGAATCTTGATTTAAAGATATTCTTTATTTTTTCCTAACAACTTATGACTAAATCACCTTGATTTTTAAGGTAATATATCCACTCCACTTATAACAATATCACATTTTAAAAAACTTCATCAGATTCTCAGTAGGAGACTACAAACAGCTGGAAAAGATGTTAACACAACAGAAATGAGAGTATCTGGTTGCTTGAACCCAAAGGAAAGTTGGACAAGGATACAGAAAGTCAACAGGAGAATGGTTGAAAGAAAAATATCTGAAAAGTAATGTACTTGCATTATTCCTTTCTTCTGAAATTTACACACACACACATACACAAGAATCCAACACCAAAGAATGGTCAAAATAATCTACATTTGCTTCAGCCTGTTGAATATCAAATGTCTTTTCCTCAAACAGGGGTTACCAAATAACTCAGTAGAATTTTTACATTTACTAGCATTTTGGAGAAAGAAAAATTTGTACATATATATATATGGGGCTAGCCCCAAATTTAAAACTGAAAGACAAAAATAGACAAAATTAGTAAGATACTACACAGACATCACATCAAGACTGCCTTCAAAACAGACAGAAAAATATCAGCCATCCTTAGAAACCCCAAAGATAAAATTGACCTAGAAAACCAAGGCATATACGAAGTCCCCTGTGCATCATGCCCGGCCACATACATTGGACAAACCAATAGAAGAATAAGTACCTGCCTGGATGAACACAAAAATGCAGTCAAAAAGCTGGAACACACTTCCTCACTAGTCCAACACATGGAAGCCACAGGTCATAGCATCAACTTCAATGGCACCAAAACCCTAGCCACCATAGAAAACCCCAGCCACAGAATCATCACAGAAGCCATAGAGATTGAAAAAAGACCAGAAAGCATGAATAGAAGAGATGATTCCACCAGATTGTCAATCATTTGGAAGCCTGCACTCACAAACAAAAAAATCTCCACACCACAAGCCAGGCAAACACCTGGGCACAGACAGATCCCCCCTGATACCTCCAGCTCAAACACACTCCAACCAGGCACCCAGATGAAACCTAGCTTCCTAACTAATGATAGCCGTCCATTTACCCGGAGCCAAGCTGCACTAAAGGCCTCCAATAAAGTAACACAATGTTGCCAGCCAATCAAGAGACAAAAAGAGCCAAAAAACAGACAGAAGATACTAGAAACACCAATCAAACAGAACACAGCAAACTCCAAGACCAATAAACACAGACCAAGACTCCCAACCAATCAGGATGAAGAAAAAACCATTCTGGCACAGCAATAGCCTGCCCCAAATTTAAATCTGAAACGACTGTAAAAGTCCGACTCACATATGAACACTATCCAGAAGCCTGATGATGGCAGATGAGATTCTGCCGAAACGTTGCTACAACTTTAAAAGCACAACTACAATGACGTGGGAAAATACCTGAACAAAGCTGAATGCCATACATACATACATACATACATATATGCACTTTAAGACTTAACTGCTGTGTGTCACAGAAAGTTGAAAATACATTGGATTTGATAGAAAGGAGGCATCAATCATTGTAACAAGGCATGTACTGCATAAATATCATTTATGTGTTGCTTCTAACACAGCTGTGCAAGATACAAACATTCCTCAAATCATTCTTAATCTCAGCTTTTACATTTTACCAACAAGAGATACCATCTAATGGAAATATTGGTGTGTCTCAAAAGTAGCTACAAGAAGATTTAGATCATAATAGATTCAATAAAAGACTGGATTATATAATTCAACAACTAAAGCAATGGCAAGAGATAGTTATCCAATCAGAGAGAACAACCTTGGTATAAAAATGGTCCTACATTCAATTTTTGCTTCTTTAGTGCAAACAATTAGGCAGCAGGTGCTTAAACCTCCAGATCTGCTGCCAGTGATAAAATACTGACCAGAAAGACTAAGTACTTAGAAGCATCTTCTGTAAAATGCAATCCTGGGTAGAAAATCTGTACATAAGCTATTTATCTCAAATCACAGTGCTTTTTTTGTGCAAAACTTAAGACTTTCATTTCTCCTCAGCTCAAATACTTGATCCAAATTTAAGCAAGCAAAAACCCAAGCCAAAAACATATTCTTTGATTCCTAGATTTTTTTTTCCCATGGGTCAATTTGTGAATTTTACCGAACTTAAGATATAGATCTCATCAGTTCCTTGCATGGCAGCAAGCAACCCAAAATAAACCAAAGTTACAGCAGATGGTTATAAATGAAAACTTAATATGCAGTAAAAATTACTGTTTAGTAATAAACTGAAAACTGCAAGATTGCAAAGGTCTGTGCATGCAACACTAGACATAAGAAATCAATTTCTTCACATTCAATTAAAGTGGAAGAGAAGCAAAAACTGCACAGATGTATATAAAGCCAAGCATTGTATTCAACTCATTCTATGTGATTCCATGCACCTGGTATGTCTAAAAATTATCAATAAAACAAAACAGCCTATATTCGTATCGTAGAGATATATAATATGGAATTTAAAAATGTATACTACATATTTATACAAACAATATCTTACAACTGTCTAGAGAAAAAAATTCAATGTTTTATGAACTAACCACTTGAGATCAAATATTATTTCTTAAAATGCATGGAACAATACTGAGAGTGAGGAAAGAGACATGCAACTGCTTGACCCACTTGAACTAGAACAACAAAACCCAAAACCCAAAACAGTAATAAAGATTAGAAGACTAAATGGATTTTACAGACATTATTCCAGCCTCACCTGACTTCTGTCTTTGTCCACTTTCTTAAAACATTTATTTAATGACAGATTATGCCTCACAGAATTTTTCCATCCAGTAGGAGCATTTGCAAAATAAGGAAAGTGTTCCAAAATCCAGTTGTATATATCCTTCACAGGAAGCCGCTTGTTTGGAGAGTCCTCAATAGCCATAAATATGAGGCAGCTAAATGAATATGGTGGTTTACAGTTTGGGTTCTGCTTGGCATCATAGGGCATGTCAGCATGAGCAGGAGATGGAGGGGTATCATCATCCAGGTCTTGAACTGGGCTAACACTTCTTAAGACCGAGTCCCCAAAACTTTTCAGCAAGTTCTTACTCTCATGTAACCAATTCAAATTGGTAAGTTCCTCATCTTCTATAGGATCTTTTTCCAGTCGAAGAATAGGCAAAGAAAAGTCTAAGTCCTCCTCGTCCTGTAGAGTTTTTGATAGGTCACCATCTGTATAACACTGGCTCAGTCCACTGGAAATGGTAATTCCCGAGCCTTCTGGCTTCTTACTAGGAGGCATAACTGGACCCATTTAGTTGGAGGCTCCTAATAAAATAAATCCAAGTTTTGTACAAAAAAGGTTAGGTAGATAAAAAGAAAATAACATTCAAGTAACATTTCCTAGCCTGTATTTGGGCATTTTACAAAGTCTAATAGCTATGCACCCTCCTAGACGCACATATCCAGGCTGATACAAGCAACATTCAGAGAATAAGACAATGAAATTTTAATTTTTGCAATAAACATTATTGTATTTTTTGAAATACATTAATTTTTCCACCTATAAACAACAAAAACCAAGGACATCATGCTTTATCCATTAACTTGAGAAATAAGCAAATGCTATCAATTTTACTTTCTCCCAAACTAGCATATCATATAGACTTCAATATCACTGGTCATAATAACAGTTACTGTTTTGTAATAAGCATACAAAATTGAGAGCTTAAGACCAGTTGCTTCATGTTAATTTCAGCTGTTTCACTTCCAGTGTGAGCACAGCCACATTATAATTATAGCCTCTGTAACTTTGACTAAACACACAAACAGGCAAAACTCCTTTATACACACACACACACACACACACACACTCTTTTACAACCAAGCATTCACTCAGATTCCCAAAGAAATTACAATAGAATTTGTGGTATGCATTCAGAATTAAATTTTAGTGATCTAAATACAAGTTAGAGAAGCAGAGAAAAGTTGCATATATAGAAAAAGAATTCACACCCCACAATGACAAATTTAGCTGAAATTACAATAAACAATGAATGTGACAAGCGTGACTTAGAAGAAAGCATGAACAGTGATGTCATACATAGATCAGTAGATAATGTTGTTGCTATACTGGGCTCAGAGTATAGTATGCAAAAATAGATCAAGCTATATTACATGTTAAAAAGCAAAAGGCACCAAAGCTAGAAAATGTGTACAAACAAAAAGCCTGACTATCTGATATTTGTTAGGGAAATATTTCAGAAAGTATTATAAACATTAATTAAACCTAAATTCAGCTATCAAGATTAAGCAATCAAGGCCACATCTTAAGCCGTTTACTCTTTCTCTAAAACAAGTTGATTAACAATGATTATTTTATCTATCTTCAATCAGTATTCCATATATTATTGTCATCCTCAAGATACTGACCACCACTACACATCATGGCTTTGGTCAATCAAGACTTTTACATAATCGTTTATAATAAGATAAAGTGTAGACTAAGTTGCTTGTGTTAGTTGTATTTATGCCACATGCAAAATTTCCATGCTAACTATAAAGGTAACACTGGTTCCTTTAGGCACCAGTTTGACAAGTATGCCACAAATATCATCAAAGTTCAAGCATGTTCACACTACACTATAAAATTAACATCTCTAAATTAAAATAATGTAATTCTTTAGAGATAGTCTATATTTGTTAATAAGCATTTTTAGCCATTTGATGGAAATGAAAAAAACAGTATGTATCCTGATTGGTGTTTGAATAGGAGACCAACTAGAAACCTACATGTAGGTTAGAGCTGGACACTGAAAAAATCAATCTAGAGAAATGGCAAAATATTTTGCCAGTATTATTGACAAAGTTGTCAATAGTTGTCAATTAGTTTGATATCTAAGCTTCATTCAAGGAAGGCTTTACATCTGTGCAACTTTTCTAGAATATATTTTCCTTTATATCAATCACAGTTATGATAAGCATATTTTATAGTGTAATGTCAATGCATTACATGAAGATTTAAATGATTAGCCTCTATACAGTGCAACATTTTTTATATAAGCTCATTAAACATGTAACCAGGCTTTCTTCAATGTAATGCCTTCAGCATATGCCACTTCTAAAACTTCTTAGGAGACTCTTTGGGGAAGATTTTGAGCTTAAGCAACACTTTGCAATTGAATTTATTAAAGAAAACAAATATGCAAAATTATTAGAAGCATCTTCAATGTAAAAAAATTACAATAATTTAATATGACATGTCAAAAACCTATGTAAAAGACTTGATGCTGTTAAGATGCTTCAAAACATTAAAAAAATTATAATTACATAAGAGGTCATTAAGGTGAGTTGAAAAAAAAACACAAGAAAAAAAACAGACTTGGAGATAAAGTTTGAAAAAAATGAAGCTGAAGGAAAATATTAAAATATTTGAAAAAGTTAAATGAATCTATTTCATACCACTGCTATTAATGAGAAAATGTATTGATAATACTTCAAAGTTCTACAATTAAGAACAAAAATGTGATTAAGATGTTCTTTAAAATTATAAAAATGGAAACTACATATCCCTTGTTTGAAAGAAGGGGGGGAAGTAGTGAGAGTACCCCTAAACATTGCTCAAGAAGAGTTTTCAATGCTGTTTTTCTTCATAATGCTCAAGAAGAGTTTTCAATGCTGTTTTTCTTCATAATGCTGTTTTAGTGTGAAGAAATGCTGCCTAGTGAAGACGCTGTTAGTACACTGAAACATGGAAGCACTGAGGAAGTAAGGGAGATTACTGCAATGTGTATCCCTAAAACATTAATCTCACCACCTTTAGTTGAAAGCAATGTGGCCAAATGCATTCAGTACAGAGAACTTATATCCCATGAGCAAGCTTTTAAATAGGAAAATTATATCATGGCTGACAACATAATTTAATTGCTCTGTTGCTATGACAACATGCTGCTCTCTTTCAGTTTAATTTGCTTACTTGCCAGCATTCTCCCAAAGGACTATATAATACCATCAATTTTCACACAAAAACTAGGGACTTCTAAGAGCTTATGTTAGACTGGCAACTCTTTCCAATTCTATAGATACGGGGTTAACTTCATGGTTTTCAATATGCTCTGAGTTAATTAAAATTATAACCTTCCAAACAATTTGTTTGGATTAATAGCCACAACCACTTTACTACATGTTTTAAGCATGTGATTTTATTTATGTTTATGTAGAGTAAAAGCCACTTGGATCATGCTGGAAATGTCTCATGGATTCTAATAATAATAACTGAAAAATATAAATAACTTAATGAGAAATGCTGTGCATGGCTGAAGGAGAGATTTTTTTTAATGTGCATTATACAATGTATTTTTCCACATCAACAGCTTGGAAACTATAAGAAGTGCCTCTTTCATGTGCCCAAGGGTAACAGTTTCCAGAAGTGATGCAAAAGAAATGCTTAAGTATTTCTAGTGTACCTAGTGTAGACCTAACTGTACAGTTTCGAGAACATGTTTACAGCATTTCAGTTGAAACAACAGCAGACAATTTCATAACTTAAGATAAATTATGGAAAAGAGAAATTCTAGTTTAGATTTCCATGAAGGAAAAAGGTATACAGCAAAATAAGTTTTAGAAACACAGCTGAGTTTTCCTCAGCTAAACTCCAGCTCAAGGGAATAACTTGTCTACCATTTCTAACAAAATTCTAACCAATTACATACAACTTAGCAACAAATATTTTGTAAAGGGGTAACTCTTATCAGATGCCCTCAGAATTTGACACCAGTGTGTGTAAAATAAACGTTACTGCTGCTTGAGCACAGCAACTGGTTTTAATATTTAGAGTTGTAAAACTGACACAATACACAAAAAGGAAGAATTACTAGTTACTATTGTTTCTCCAAATAACTTACATCTATGCAGTGATATATATTTGAAAACTACATTTGAATGGTATATATTTAAAGAAATAATAAAACAACAGGCCAATATTTTTAAGTGAAGAGAGCAGTCAAGGAGACTGCACTTTGCCTACACTCCCTACTGTACTTGTCAAAAACATTTGAAGGGGAGAAGGAGGCCGCTGATTGGTTGGGATTCAAATCAATCAATAGCGTTGCTAGGCGACTAGAAAACTGCACTTATGTCTATACAGTGCCATTTGCAGCGAACATACCTTCAATGCTGGTCAAATATCTTAAACCTTGCATTGGCCTATCTTCTTCTACATCACGCCATCATATAGACGCGCCCCCCACCCCAAAAGCTTATGAATCTATGTCTGTAAAAATCATTTTAAAAGTCTTAATGCTAAAGCTCATTCTACTAGTTTTTTTAAAAAAGATGAGATTTTAAAACTTGAGAAAAAAATGTTCCCCCAAACTACAGGAAGCAATTGGAAGCAATCAATGTCGCAAAAAAGAAAAAGAAAAAAATACAAAGGTTGCAAAGGTTGAGTTCGTCTTCAAACTACACCCCCCCCCCCCAACTTTAAAACACAATACTAACTCTATATTCGTCAAGCGTCTTATCAGTTAGAACTAAAGCAGCAATAATAAAATTACACATTCGGGTCGTGCCTGCAAACTCTCGGCTCGACCCGCTTCACCTGACAACACCAAGAGGATTTACATCCCCTTATTTCCAAGAGGAACAGGAAGTTGTTTTTAGACATTCCGAACTGATTTTACTGCGTCTTGCGCCCAATTCACCTTTTTCTTGTCCCTCTTGTGCATTTTTTTAGCCCCCCTACTTCTTTCGATTCCAATGCAGAGAATCTTACGCAATCTTCCCAGCGAAGGTATTACGGTTTGAAATGAAAGAGAATCTCTACACAGAAAGCAGAAAAGACAAAACGCCCAGACCATATACTAAACACACACGCGTGCACGCACACACGTATGTTAAAAAATCTAAACTTACCTGTCCGGGGTGAGTTCTAGATTTTCCCTGCCGCCTTTCCCGTGATCATTATGCAAACTTTTCATCCGATTGAACAAGGCATTGCTTCCTCCCCCAGGCTGAAGCCAACAATGTGGCCGAAGGGAAAGAGCGAGGGGAGCCCAGAGCCGAAAAGGAAATCCGAGGCGAGCATGGGACCCTGCTGCAGTTTCACCCCCCCGCCCCCGCCGCCCCTCTTTGCTTCGCCTCAACGCTCCAGCCGTCGTCTCCCCTTCCTTTCCTCACTTCCCACCCCAACCCACCCCCCCGTCTGAGCGAGTGGAGGTTTGGGTCGGAGGTGCCAGAAGAAAGCGAAATTGTTTCCACGGCAAACAACAAAAAAAAAGGCAACACATGACCGCGGGGGGGGGGAGGGAAAGAGGGAAACGTGGGCAGGGCCAGCAGAGACTAGCCGCCACAGAGGGAAGGAGAAGGCAGGGCTAGCGGAGGTGGGTGGGTAGGTGGGTGCGGGGGGGGGGGGTAGAAGAAAAGAGGGGGGGTTATTGCTCCGCGACCCTAATTGCGAGACAAGCGCGGGGTTAGGTCGGCGTTTCCACCCACGCGCGCGTTCTCCGGCAGCGGCCGCCCCGCTCTCACTTCCCCCCGCCGCCCAGCTAGAGAGGCCTGTGAGCCCTCAGAAATTCTCAGGCTGCCGCCTCCTTCGGCCTCTCCTTCCACCACTTGGAGTCCCAAACGCTGCACATGCCCTCCTCCTCCGGTTGTTCTGACTGGCTTCTCCCTTTTTCTTTCCCCTCCCCACCAGCCTACGTGGTATGTGGGTGAGCCTGAAAGTCACTCCAGAATGTGTGTGTGTGTGTGTCTGTGTGAGAGAGAGGGAGAGCGCGCGCCACCCTTCCGCGTTTTTTAAAAAAAAATTTTTTTTTAAAGAAAGGACAGTTCTGTCTTTCCAAAACTGCAACTAAGAGATAGCACCTGCTCGCCTCTGCTTAACGAAAAGACGCACGCAGGGAGAGTGTTGGGGGGGACTTGAAAGATAACTCTTCCTGAAGGATCAATTCACTTCTGAAGTAAATCCCCGTGAATTCAACTAGATCTCGCTCCTAATTAAGTAAAACTAATAGGCTATACAGGCAATAATTCTAGGAATTGAACTGGGAACAAGCTGTATCTGAACCCAATGGCTCTGCCCACCTGGCACTCTTACCCTTGGTTAGTGTAAAAATGTTTACCCAATGTTGACGTTTATTGATATATAGAGTGTCTTAAAGTTTGCAGTCAGATTAAAATGTAGCTGGCTAGTTGGTGGTGTTCCATAAACAAAGCCAGTGGGACACCATGACACTTATTTCACTGCTTTTCTTCATTAGGTACATAAAGTGGCCAGTTGGAAGATTAAAAAGTCAGAGACAGACTCACAATCTCTCCAAACTGTAGTATGGTTGGGTTGGTTGGGTTCAACATAATTTATGAACTCAGATGTTACCATAAACTAGGAATGACCACATGGTTCAAATTGTTTTGGTCTCTAGTTTTCAGAATCCCTGATCACTGAAATGAAAGTCATGAAATCAAGACAGCACCTAAGTTGGCTTCACGTAAATGCAAGGGCAAATAGAGATCTTGTGACAGATTCATTGGGGAAAAAAAAACTTTTTTTCAGGTGAATGCTATCCAGAGGTCCATTCTAAAGTATATGAGCAAAATACAACTTTCTTATTTCAGCTCTCTGACACTTAATGTGATTTTTAGAGACAATTTCACCTTTCCCCCCAAACAATGCATTTTCATATTGGAAAAATAATATTTTATAGGTTATGAAAAATGCTTCAAGAAACTGATATTACTGAGGTTTGCCAGTCACAGAGCAAATAAGAAACACAATATAATTATAGTGAAATTTAACAAAATGAGGAGGTCTGCAGTCTTGTAGGAATACTTATTCCAGTATCTCTACTTGGTTCAAAGTTCATAATCTGAATTAAGCACACATAGTGTTAATGTGTCTGTGTTCACACACTATTGCAAAGTATGCATACTTTGTCATAATGTTTTATTGAGTGAATTACAACTAGCTATTTCTTACACTACTACTTGTTTTATAAACCATAATAAAATGAGTTTACCTAATGCATTAAGACAAAAGTACGCACACAATGTAATATCTTACCAACTTGTCCATGTTTCTGGAATGACATCTGGCGAAGCTTTCAAGACTCATCTAATGGAGCAAAGATGGCTTATATATAAGTATTTTTTGTGCTTTGACTAAAAGATGTGAAAATGGACACTGAAAAAAATATGAAAAACCAGAAACAACTGAAAAAAAGGAAATAGAATTTGGTCCTATACATACTTGTCTATACATATAATTTATACATAAATGTGTACCTATAGGTCCAACTTTCATTTTCTTTTTGTGTGTATTTTTGTTTTGGAACATAAGTTTAACTGCTTTTTCAATATTAGCAATATAATCTTATGTTTGAAGGACACAATTCAAATAGTATCCATTATGTAGTAAAAGTACAATATATAACATTGGTAATTTCTGCATTTCTCAAACAGTGCCTAAAATAAACTCAGTGCCTAAGTTCATTCCACACATTGAACCTCAAACTACAAGGTGTTCAATCACTGGTCAGCAATATTTTGGGACAAAATCAACTTAATGTCTCTTCTCTAAGCAAAAATATCCCCACATACGGGTAGTCTTCAATTTACAATCATAGTTGGGATTGGAATTTCAGTCATTAGTGATGCAGTCATTAAGTGAGTCATTATACAACCACCCAATTTTATGATCAATTACTGTAATCATTAAATGAATTGTGTGTTGTTAAGTGAATCTGCTTCCCTCATAGACTTTGCTGGGAAGGTCCAAATCATGTGGCTGCAGGACATTGCAACTGCTCACATTGCAAGCCAGTGGTCAAGTGCCCAACTCACAATCATGTGCTCTTGTGGGAGAGTGACAGTTGTAGGGTCCTAACTCACTCTGAACCCTTGTTAAACGAATAGTTGTATATTAAGGACTATCTGTGTATATAATTACAAGTTGGAATTCTTATTCACATAAATTCATAACTTGCTAAAAATCAATTTGATCTGTAAGTCCCTGTCAATGCAGCTGTAGGTGTAACCCTTTTGATTTGAAAATTTAAAAAAGTATTTTGACTACATGGGATAATTACATGGCATCTGTCCATAATTCCTCAAATAGTACGGTATGACTGCTCTTTGCAGCTATAGCATAATCCAAAAGAAAAATTATGGAGTTGCAATCAGATGCTATCTGCATCAGAAATGGGACAACTTGCTGCGGCCAATTCACTATGGCCAACTCATCATGACCAACTTGATGCAGCCAACTCAACATGGGATAACTCAACATGGCCAACTCACTATGGGAGAACTCGCTGCAGGACAATTTAACAATTCTATTTAATTATTTACAATAAATAAAAATTATTTTAATTGCTGCCACTTACATTTCATTCTGTTCCTCCTTTTAAATCCTTTCTTTAATGTTTCTTTGATATTAATGTGACTCTTATCCCGCAGCTAATTGTCCTGTGGCGAGATGGCCATGGCAAGTTGTCCTGCAGCAAGTTGGCTGCAATAAGTTGGCCATGGCGAATTGTCATAGACCCATCTGCATCACTGTTCGCTAGAGCATCTCTTTGTCTTTGAATCCGTAGCACTGTATAACCTTAATACTCATCTGAAAGTAAAAAGCACTGGATGTAGTGGGACTAATGCCCAATAGATTTTATATTCATTTATTTTTAATAGTACAATTAAGCCTAGTATGAATTGTGTCATGTATGTAATCAAAGAAAAAAAAAGACAGTCTCAACTTAATTGGCTCAAAAAACATTAGAGAAATTTATAAATTATAAGATTATCATTAGTTACCAGTCATGAAGCCTGTGTTTTGTCCTTCAGTTCTGGAGCAGTGGCAAAGTTCAACAGCACTCTAAACCATAGTTTGTTTAATTATATTTTATTGAATGAACTATACATCAAAATGAGTTTCACAACAAGACCATCATAAATTAGTGGTTTAATTCTGATAACACATTGCCAGAATTAAAGAAGCCACAATGTAGCTGATGTGGTGTAGGAATCAGATGAGTTTATGCATATGATTTGTTTGGGAAACAAAGCAGGACAGTGCTGTTCTTCAGGTACTGTTTAGGGGCTTCCAGAAGGCATCTAGTTGCCCCTATGCAACAGATTGCTGCATTAGCTAGGCTTCCTGTTGGATCCATGCATTTTTGTTTCTTCATAGAAACATAAGAAACTTTCATACAAACATGCTTCTGCAAATCATTATTTTTCAAAGGCTTTTGCATAAATGGATGTAACTAATACATTTCATTGTTAAAATGAATCACCACATTTAAAATCATTGCAGCATTTAAGTTTCTAAATTACCCAAATAAATAGTAACATATGATAACAATCACAGTAATCCAGAGACAATTTCTTCCTTTTGGAACCCTTTTTAGACAAGGCTGAATAGGTCTGTGAGTGTATATTAAGTATTATTGCTTTCCTTCTCAGTTGTATGACTAATAACATTAAGATGGTAACATGGTGTATATGTCCAGCACAGTAGCTGAAGTGAATTACTGATACTTACAAAACTACCCAAAGCCAACCCAATATCCAGACAATCAGAGATATGCAATATCCAGACAATCAGAGGTGGTATTCAACAGGTTCTGACCAGTTCTGGAGAACTGGTAGTGGTTTGGAGAGTAGTTTAGAGAATAGACAAATACCCCCTCTGATTGGCCTCACCACCATGTATTCTCTGCCTCCCGGGCCCCAACTGATTGGCTGGATCTAGCCCTGCACAGGAGAACGGAGCTGGAAAGCAGGTTAGTGGAGTGGGGAGGGATTTGGATTTTGCAGTATCCTTCCCCTATCATGCCCACCAAGCTACGCCAACCAAGCCACACCATGCCCACCAAGCCCACAGAACCAGTAGTAAAAAGTTTTACTACCACCACTGCAGCCAATCGTTGTAACCTATTTAGAAAGGAATGAGTAATTAAAACCATGGCCCTTGTAAAGCAAAATGCCATTGTTCCTTTATCCTTGCTTGCCCTGCAAACAGGCCTGTTTATCTAAAAGTAAGGCAGACCTTGAATTATTAAGTCAAACAGCGCTTATCTCATGGCCCTTTTGCTGTTTTTAAAATACCCAAGTTACCAAATGTTAACCCAACCCACAGAAACACATATACTCGAAGCATTCTGAGA